ATGTTGGCACCTGTGGTCTTATCTGCCAAAAGGATCCTTCAAGACTTGTGTAGAAAAGACCTTGGTTGGGACGATCTTATACCCGACTTGTCTGCACAGGAGTGGAGAGGTTGGTTGAAGGAGCTCTGGCAGCTTGAAAAGTTTGAGGTTGACAGATGCCTAAAACCAATGGATTTTGGGGAAGTGATTTCTGCTCAGTTACATCACTTTGCGGATGCATGTGAGAGCGGCTATGGAACAGTGACTTACTTGTTATTAAACAACATAGAGAGAAAAGTTCACTGTACTTTCATAATGGGAAAGGCCAGAGTGGCTCCATTAAAAACAATCACCATCCCTCGCATGGAGTTGACGGCTGCCATGGTTGCAGGTCGAATGGATGAGCTCTGGAGGAAGGAGCTAAAGATGGAACTTCAAGACTCAATTTTCTGGACAGACAGTACTTCTGTACTGAAGTACATCAGCAATGAGACCTCAAGGTTTCGTACATTTGTAGCCAATCGGGTTTCAAAGATACTGAGTGTATCTAGTCCATCTCAATGGAGATATGTTAACACCACAAATAATCCTGCTGATTTAGCCTCTAGGGGAGTAAAGGTGACATCACTTCTGAGAGATAACATATGGGTGTCTGGACCTCAATTTCTGGTTGGGCCTGAAGCGGGCTGGCCTGAAAACCCAGATGGCCATGTGAGAATTCCACCAGATGACCCTGAGGTTAAGAGGGTCTTGATTGTGAATGCTGTGCAGGCTGAAGAGAAGATCGATGCAGTCACTCGCTTGATTAACTACTTCTCCTCTTGGATCCGTCTGAAGAAGATGGTTGGTTGGATCCTTAAGCTGAAGAGTCTACTACTGTACTTTAGTCAGAAAAGGAAGCAACTGAGTAGGACTCTTGCTCATTCTGGCTTGGACAAGGACCAACAGGGAAAAGAAATAGAAAAGGAGATGCAGAGTATCAAGGCTAAGACCGCCAGTGGTCTTCTTTCAATTGAGGAACTTAGAAAGGCTGAGATGGAGATTATTAAGTTTTGCCAGAGAAGGAGGTTTCCTGGGGAATTCAACAGTCTGCGAAAGGGCGAAAGTGTGAAAAGGACTAGTCACATTTACAAACTCAACCCAATACTTGAAGATGGTGTTTTGAGAGTTGGAGGACGACTTAGCAGAGCAGCTATGCCGGAAGAAGCTAAGCATCCTGCCATATTGGCAAAGGATTTACACATTTCCAACATAATTCTTCAGCACATACATCAAGAGGTGGGACACAGTGGTCGTAACCACATGCTGGCTTGTCTGCGCCAAAGGTATTGGATCCCTGGGGCTAGTGTGGCTATAAGAAAAATCCTGTCTAAATGTATTGTCTGTCGACGACTGCATGCAGCTCCAGGCCAACAACAGATGGCAGATTTACCTCAGGACAGAGTTTCATCAGATGAACCTCCATTCACTCGGGTCGGAGTTGATTACTTCGGACCTTTTGAAGTTAAGCGAGGAAGGAGTATATTGAAGAGGTATGGGGTTCTCTTCACATGCCTTTCCATAAGAGCGATCCACATAGAAGTTGCATCATCCTTGGACACAGATTCTTTTATCAATGCTCTTCGACGCTTTACAGCAAGACGTGGACAAGTATTGGAACTGCGTTCAGATAATGGAACCAACTTTGTTGGTGCCGAGAGAGAATTGAGAGAGGCAATGGAAAGTTGGAATCATACCCTAATTAATAACACCCTCCTTCAAAAGGGAATTAATTGGGTTTTCAACCCCCCCACAGGGTCACATCATGGCGGGGTTTGGGAAAGGTTGATAAGATCTGTGAGGAAGGTCCTGAATTCCACCCTGAAGTTGCAGACCCTTGATGAGGAGAGTCTTCACACAGTTCTGTGTGAAGCAGAAGCTATTGTCAACAGCCGTCCTATTACCAAGGCATCCACTGATCCCAATGATTTGGAACCATTAACCCCTAACCATCTGTTGCTGCTCAAGATCATGCCATCTTTGCCACCGGGTCAGTTCAAAAAGGAGGACATCTACGCTCGTCGCAGATGGAAACAAGTTCAGTATATATCTGACTTGTTCTGGAAACGTTGGATTAAGGAATACTTGCCTCTTCTTCAGGAGCGTCAGAAGTGGTCTGGTATCAAGCGCAACTTCCAAACTGGAGATATTGTACTCATAGTTGACGACTCAGCACCTCGCAACTCATGGCTTACAGGAAGGATTGTGCAAACTCTCCCTGACAGAAGAGGACTTGTTCGTCAAGTGCGAATTAGGACGAAGACCAGTTATTTGGATAGGCCTATCACCAAGATTTGCCTTCTACAGGAAGCAGAGGAGCCATGAGGATATCCAGCTGACCTTCGAACTTCTTAGACTTTGACTTTAATCTTGACATTATTATATAGACCTTTTTACATTACATGATTAAGTGATTGCGAAGATCACTTTTTACAAAGACAAAGGACTCTGTCTCTTGTTTGATCTAAAGAAGAAAAGACACTTTCGAAGGGACTGTTTTATGTAAAAAAAAAAAAAAAAAATCATATTGTTGATCTCTTACATAATGTGCAGTTGTATAATTATTGTGTTAAAATAATTAGGGGCCGGAATGTAAGAGCCAACTGTAAGTCTCCTATGGTTTTATGGTCTCATTCATTATTTTTATTGCACTCAGATTGTAGGTGGTGGGCGTGTCTACCGGGGCTTGGGCGGAAGTGATGTGTTTCTTGCACGTATTTGTTTGCTACACCTGTGCACCTGAGTATGGGGGCTTTGACAGAGAGGGAGTGAGCCTGGGAGCGAACACTTTCTGTTGACCGCACTTTATGCAATCACACTGCACTTATGAACTGGTAACTGGCTAACAGTTGTATTTTATGTGCAAGAAGCAATAAATGAGTGGATCGCTGTGTGAAACTGTTTCTGCGCGTCGCAGTGCATTCATTCTCCCAGTGTTTAGTCTCTCGCGGCTGCAAAGATAATTTTGCCTGGTCTACAGCCGCTACACTAACTCTGGCTTGTTTACAACATGTATTGTTGTTGATTAATGAGCATTGTCCCTATCAAATAAAAATGAAATGAAATGAAATGAAACGGAATATTCGGTGGTCGCCACAGATTGTTTCACCTTTACTGGACGATATTGCTGTTGGTTTTGACACTAGGCTATTCAAGTTGTCCGTGTTTGTGATGCATGTAGCAGCTAGTCTAATTAAACTGTGAACTTCTTATCCCCCTGACCAGTTTCTATAGCCTTTTGCTTATTGACAAATGAAGGGACCACGGGTTTCTTCCGTGACCGTACCACGGAATATTCGGTGGTCGACCACACCTTTACTTGACGATATTGCTGCTGATTTTGATACTTCAGGTTGGCTATTCAAGTTGTCTGGGTTTGTGATGCATGTAGCAGCTAGTCTAATTAAACTGTGAACTTCTTATCCCCCTGACCAGTTTCTATAGCCTTTTGCTTATTGACAAATTCTGTGACGGCACCACGGATTCTTCCGTGATGGGACCACGGGTTTCTTCCGTGACCGTACTACGGAATATTTGGTGGTCGCCACAGATTGTTTCACCTTCACTGGAGATTGCTGATTTTGACACTTAGTTTAGGCTATTCGAGTTGTCTGTGTTTGCGATGAAATGTAGCCTCATTAAACTGTGAACATATTATCTCCCCTGATCATTTTGTGTATAACAGTTTTCCACATTGTCAAATTCTGAATCCGTGATGGACACACGGATAACTGGCAGGCTCGATCAATCAAACTCCCCATCCATCAGCCTGGTGTAAATAATATTTGAACTAATTTACTTTTTTTTTTTTTTTTACTTTAATTTACTCAATTGACAGATAGGCATATACAGACAACGAAAAAAATGATAAAGACTTATAATAAATTAATGTTAAATCGGACGTGTTGCCATGGCGGCGACCCCACGGCACTTTCGCGGTTTTTCCGTCATTGCGAGGATCCCCTCTACCAATCGGTATGTATCTCAGGCCTGCTACTTACTTACTAAATATAAATGTTGAAATATAAGTTTTAATGCGTTTTAGATCGCTTGTAGGCTATTGTTCATTGCTAAATATTTGACATGATATCGTGTCTGTAAATAACGTTAGCTGCTAACGTTAGTTGTTTTTCTCTAAAAAAAAGTATGCATTTTTACAAATATTTAAAAGACGTTTTCTTAAAATTAGTTTTTTTGTCATTCTTCAGTAATGTTACCAACATATCATCCTATGTAGCACCATGTACACCAAAGAAATATAGTGAAAATCGTTTATTTTTTTTTTTTTTTTTTTGTGATGGAAAAGTGAGATGAAAGCATATAGCTAATGTTAACGTTAGGCCCTATCCTGAAATCCATCTGATAGTCTTTTTCCATCTTGTGTAAACTAAATGAAAAAAAATAATTTTCCACCTGGCTTATCTTGTGTTCAGATTTGTTACCGAAAATATATATGCAAAAATTGCGCATATTTAATGAGATAATTCCTATTTTGCATAATTAAACTTATAATACATTGTTTTTATATACTTGTGTAATTAATCAACTGAGGAAGGTTCATGGTGATCATGGTAATAGATTCATTTATTTTTAAAATTTTACCCTATTCACCTTTAGTGTCTCGCATTAATGTAGACATTACATTTTTTTTTCTCAGAGATATATCTAATTATGCTTTCTTGTCTGTTCTACAGATTATTTGCTGTTTTACATCTTATCTCCATTTCTCTGTCTCTATTTCAGTTTTATATAGAAAACAAAGGCACTTTTAAGAGCCACTCTTTCAATCTCTCTCTCACTGTTTCTCACTAGTCTCTCTCTCTCACACATACACACACACTCTCTCTCTCTCTCTCTCTCTCTCTCTCTCTCTCTCTCTCTCTCTCTCTCTCACTCACACAAACACGCACGCACGCACACACTCATCTTCATATTTGTACTGTTTGTCTATTGTCTGTATTTTTGTATTGTATCTGTGCACCATGTCGGAAAACCACCCAGCAGTCTTCGAAGATCCTAGTGAGGTCAGATGGCATATGGCTGCTGAAATAAGCAAGGCTCTTCTCAACGAGGCCAGGGTGAGAAATTTTGACAACTTTACACCCATATCTATGTCAAATAACTATTGGTATTACAGATTGTTTGTTGTAGTTGCTGTTGATGTTCTTGACATTTAATGGACATTGGAGTAGTGTAGTATTTTATGTCTTGTAGTTTTAGTTTTGTGTTTTTTTAATGTTAGTTACTTTGCGTCCAAAGTCCAAACATAACCATAAGTCTGATATTCTATTAGAAAACATTAATATTTTATTTTCATATAGGCTGCAATGGGAAGCCATGTCCCTCAAAAAAGAAAGAGGACTAAGAGAGGGAAAGCAGTCGCAAGCGCAGCGGCCACAAGTAACAGACGTAAGAAACGTCAAAAAAAACAAAAAACGTTGTGCATAAGGTTCGTTGTTTATTACACTGTTATAGTTTAATAATGATTATTATCTAATATCTAAATGCTGGTGAGATGTATGATGGAATTTTGTGAATTTTCTGGGGTGAAATATATGATGCTTTACAGTAAGACCCTGATAGAATAGATAACCTATTGCATTGGCCTTTACAGCTTCTGAAGTTCAATGATCACAGTGTCTGAGGAAGTCCCTCACATCGAAGAAGAGATGACTGCAAGTCTTGGTCAGTATGTCTGTATAATCCCTATAACATTTCCTATCCCTCCATATCAACAACTTTTCTAATGACCCTGTAAACTTTTCCTCGATTCATTGTTGTTGATGTCTCACACTTCTTCTCCACGTAACTACATTAAAAGTGGTTTGTGTTTGTATTTGTATTTTGTTGTTGTAGAAAGAATGTGCATTATATTATACATTTTTACAATTCTGCACTCATTGCTTTTGCATAGCTCGCTTTTAGAAATGTTTTCCTATTTTGGGGAGTGATAGACACTCCTACTCTTCATTTCAAACTGGTCTATTATCGGAAGCATATTACACGTTTTGTGAAACCATTGTGATACAATGGTTCGTGATACCATGATCAAATCCATATACAGTACATTAAACCAACATTGAATGGACACTTGGTCAAAGTCAGATTTTAATAATTATTGTTGTACCATTCAGTCATTTTTACCTATTGTGCCTTCACTCAATCGAAGGGTTGTTTAACAGTTATTTATTTTCATTTATTTTCAGATACACGTCTTCAATAGCTGAGGGACACGCTTGACTCAGTTGAGGTTAATGTGGCAGCTGAAAAAACAGCATGGGCACAGCGGCAGCTACACGCTGATACAAGGGCAAAAGCAGCAAGGCCAGTGCTGCTTGATGCTAAACTGTCCACTGAAAGAGATGTCAACCAAAAATGCACTATATAGGTTTGACGTCTTCGACGCTTTTGCTCACATTAAAGTTTCGGCTCCTTCGATGTCAAGGCATGCCTTTTTAAAGCTACTGGAGCACCGTTCTGTTCAGGCTGGAAGGGTAAATCTGCTTGAATCATTGTAACACATAATCATATTAATGTATTTAATATTGTGATATTTATTTTCTGTAAACACTAATAATTTTATGTCATAGCCAGGGAATGTCTGTGCAGATACATTCCAGAAAAGTTTTTTCGAATATTGTTTTTGCAAACATACAGAAGATGTGATGTGTGAAGTAAATGACTTTTATTGTCCAGCATCAGAGGCAGCAGCATGACAAGAGTATGTCTAATACTGCATATTAAGACAGTATATCTATTGTTTATGTTTGTTTGTTTGTCTTTTCTGTTTTCTATTTGTTAAGATGAGTGATATCTAACTTTACAGGCAGATAACAGTGGAACATGTGGCGTTTCAAGGTTCAGGGCAAGTAAGGAGATGTCAAAAAAATCATCGTCCAAAATAGATGAAGAGGGCATACAAGTGGCAGTCTGCAGGTATGTGGGTAGATCAGAAGTATGCAATTGTACAGATGCCACTTGTCACACCCTGTGGAAACTCAATTGTGGATAAATGCATCAGAGTCAGGTTCAGAGTCAGGTATTTCCTAATGGGAAGTAAAGTCCTTTCCGTCCTTCAGATGAGATGTTAAACTGAGGTCCTGACTCTGTGGTCATTAAAAATCCCAGGTTGTCCTTCAAAAAGAGTCGGGGTGTAATGCCGACATCCTGGTCAAATTTGCTCCTTGGCCTCTGTCCATCATGGCCTCCCAATCATCCCCATATACTGATTGGCTTCATCACTTTATTTATTTTTAAAATAAATTACTTGATGGGGATGAGTGTTTGCGATTGAGGATTGATGGGGATGAGTGTTTGTGTGCGTGCGTATGTGCAAATGGATTTAAGCTTTGAATAGAGGTTTTTGATTAGCTCTGTTTTCCACAGGTCTCATTGTGTAAACAGATCATTAAAAATATTGTCCTCTTGTGCATCAGACACGGGATATTGCTGCGTGGACTGAACCACTACCGTGGCGAGGTCTTTGCCTACCCAATGTTTTTACAGAAGGAATTGTCAGAGAGGGCCAATGTCACTTTCTTCTGCATGGATGTTGTCTGCAGGTAATTTTTCTCTTTCATATTGAAACTTGGTCAACCTACTGTACATTAAATGGCAAGTGCCTGTTTGTTTTTTTTCAGTCATTTTATATTGATGGCCAGGCAAAGTATTAGTTAATGCCTACTAATGCTGTGCTTCTTTTTAGGTACTGGCAGCCATACCTAAGCAAAGCGACTGAAGAATCATCCGATCTTCAACCACTGATGGAAATGAGGCCATTTCTTAGTGTGATGCATGCCAAAGCTCATACAGCAAAATGCGAGGTACCTCAAATTACTGAAATTTAGATGCAACAGTAGCCAGCAGGCAGCTAGTGCTAGAAGTCGTGCAATGATTGTTTTTTATTATTTTAAATTGTTATTAGTAGTAATATACTAAGTTGTAAGTCTGTGATTAGTATATCTTGTGTAGTATATTATGCAGATAAAATATGACACCTTTAAAGTGAAAAAGATTTGAATGTGCACATAATAAATGACATTATTTAAAGTTATGGTATGAAATTAATCCAACACTGTTGCAGGTGAGATGGGGCGGTATGAATCAGGATGGAGCAGGGAACACTGTTGGAGAGGAAGTTGAGCAAGTATGTTATTACAGACATTATTGTAACTATGTAGATATAGGAGATTTTACTGATACATTTAAGCAGTGTGTGAAGGATAAAGTACATCAGGGTACCAAACAAAGATCTATGCTTGCTCGAATGACCATCAGAGCACGATCTGAACTGTAGTTGCAACACATATTTTGTTGAAATAAAAAAGTGAAGTGAGCAGTGGTGTTTTATGCATGATGCATCACTATTTCAAGCTTTGTTCCCTCTGAGCTTCACTATTTAATTATATACACTCATTTGATCATGTTAGGGAAATTCATTATCTGCAAATTCATTATCTGCATTATCTGATAAGATATTAGTTAAACAATAAGACAAACAATAAAACAGTATGGCTACATGTTCACATATACATACATTTTTTTTTATGTTATATAGGAATACATTAATTTCTGTATTGTTTATCTAGGTAAACAGCTTTCTATCCAGGGCAGCTCTTGTCACAAAGTACATGACAAAGGCAGGTTGGTATGACACAATACAAACCATACGCTATGATGAGGTATTTCTGACTTCTAAAATGTAATTTTCATGTTATCCTTGCACTAAAGTAATTTTTGTGTTTGGTCATGTCTAACTGCAATGGTCTTTCTCATGTAAACTGATCCAATCATGCATGCATATTTTTTTGTAATCAGGGAGAGAGAATATGCTTACGCAACAGGCCATGGGGTGGAACAGAAAAAAGACAGAGAACCTTCATAAAGTCTTAGCCTGCAGATACATCAAAGTAAGGGCATTTCCCAATGGTCCTTTTGCCTGACACAACATACATTTTAACAACAAACTGCAGAGCTGGCGTCTATCCATCTGTAATAAGCTCATTCATCTATTAATTTATAAACTGTAGGTTATGGAATTTCAATTTGATCTCGGTATTGTCTGAAAGCTTGTATGGTATTTTTTATTTTTGTGTGATTTAAAGATTTCCGAGAAGGTAAAGCTGGAAGTTGCCAGCTTCAGTGATTTCCGCCAGAAGAATGACATCACTGAACAAACAGCACAGCAGTGGGTGTGTGATGTTCAGCAGTGGGCAGTCACAGGTAAATCACATCTGTTAATTAGTTTGTTCAAATATTAACTACTTAAGGTGATCAGACATTTTTAAATTAAACAATTTCTGAAATAATTGTGTTTCCTATTAAGAGCCAGGGAGCACAGCAGAACAGGGAGCAACAGAGGATCTCAGGGCTGAGATAGAGAGCATCATAGTGGCTCTGCTACGCAAGAAGCAGGAACTCTATCGTCAGCATGGTTGGTTGACTGATATTCAAATGGCACATTGCAAACAAACAAAAACAGTTTTCCTGATAGTTTTCTTATTTCGCTTTGCAGATAGCAACCAGACAAGACAGAGAAAAAGAAGAAAAATAAGAGAATTAAAAAAAAAATGAAACAAAAGATCCAGCTGTACAATGCTATTGCAGAAGATAAAATTGATGAGGAGTTGGGCTCAAATTCGACAGAGGACTACATCCTGCCTTGGGAGAGACGTGAGGATGGTATGGTGGTAGTCCTGACATGTTCTTGAAAATGTATACCTGTCTGTATACGATATTGCAAAATCTCCCTCTCTCTCTCTCTCTCTCTCTCTCTCTCTCTCTCTCTCTCTCTCCCTCTCTCTCTCTCTCTCCCTCTCTCTCTCTCTCTCTCTCTCTCTCTCTCTCTCTCTCATATGTTTTAGTTTATAACTTAATCATAAATACTAAATCACTTTTTCATATTTCCATCTATTCCCACTACCTAAAGGTCACTCCTTCAGGTTAAAACGGTCTCTTGAGGAGGAGCAGAGCATCCTGGTTAAGGAGATGTCTCAGCACATCACATCTCTCCATAAGGAGATAAAGGGAGTGGAGAAGCTGAAAGAGAACATCAGAATGGGCTGTAAGTCAAATTTGGATTTTTTTTTCCTCACTAACATATGTATAGTCCCTTTTCCATTGAATGGTATTGGTTCCACTCACCTCAACATGACTCTACTTGGTTTGGTTTCAAATTTTTGGTTTAATTTTCTACTGCATAAAAGTACCATTTCATGGAACCGGTTGCTATAGCGATACTGAAGTGAACTATCTTTGCATCACCATTTTGTAAAAGTTTGTAACAGCAATCACTACAGCAGAACAGATAAAATCAACAGTATTCTGAAATCATCGCATTACAGACATGTTTTTGGGGAGCAATATTTACTCTATCGGCTGTCCTGTCTCGCTAACTCTAAGCTGCCGTTGAGGACCTGCTCAGAACGTTAACATGATGCTAGCAATAACAATGACCACAGAGCTATCTGCACATCATTGTTGGAACTTCAACAGAGGTGGAACCAAAAGTGCTTGGTACCAGAGGATCCTCAAGTGGATCTGGTACCAGTCAGTGGAAAAGAGCCACAAGTTTTATTGTTTTCTACATTAGTTGTACGACTCTGCTCCACCCTCGCACTTTGTTTAGCCCCCCCCCCCAAAAAAATACAATGCATTATATTTTGAACAGAAATTAACAATCGCAAAAAAAAAAAATTGTTTGAGCAAAGAAAAAAAATGATTCTGTGCTCAATAAATGTATTTGCTATTAGCCATATGCACGTGCAATAATAACCCCTCTCACTCTGTTTACAGGTGCTCTCTCAAACTTATTCTCTGCACTCCTGTCAAGTCCCTTTCTCTCTCTCTCAACCTCTTAATTCTGTGCGCGCTCAACTCTTGACATGCTCGCTCAACGTGCAAGAGCGTTACAAGTGTGCCACAAAATCAACCAATCGGAAAATTAAAGGTAAATTGTGATTGGCTATTACAGCGCAGTCTCATCCCAAGACGTCATATAACTGATGTCTTGGGACGTCTTTTGACCATACGTCAACATCTGCCTTTTTAGGGTACCCTTAAACATCGGTTAGATGACGTTACCGGATCCTAAACCTACCCCGTCACCTAACCGACATTAAAGGTAAAGCGTCAGTTGTATGACGTCCCAGGATCGTCAATATAACCGATGTTTAAGGGTACCCTATAAAGGCGGATATTGACGTATGGTAAAAATACGTCCCAAGATGTCAGTTATATGACTTCTTGGGATAAGACTGTGTAGGACTATTACGCTGTAGTCAGTTACCAGACGGGCTTTGGTTCTACTAGCGATTTGATTGGAGACAGCCAATCACAATTGACCTTTAATTTTCCAATTGGTTAATTTTGCGGCACACTTGTAACGCTGTTGCAAGTTGAGCAAGCGTGTGTGTCAAGAGTTGAGCACGAGAGAGAGAGAGAGGGACTTGACAGGAGTGCAGAGAATAAGTTTGAGAGAGCACCTGTAAACTGTGTGAGAGGGGTTATTATTGCACATTAATATGGATAATAGCAAATACATTTATTGAGCACAGAATCGTTTTTTTCTTTGCTCAAACTAATTTGTTTTTCAAAATATAGTTAATTTCTGTTCAAAATATAGTTCTCTGTGCTCAAAACTTAAAATTACTCGCTCAGGATTGAGGCACACAAATGACGCTATCCCCAGCTTCTGCAAACCCCCATCCCTCCCTGACTGCACTTTATACCTCCAATTTATGCAAAGTATAGGATGTTAAACATACAGTTTCAATGAATTTGAGTTCAATTGAATTTGAGAACAAGTAACATTTTTATGTCATATGTGGTTCTACATGCTATAATTTTTGAACAATATTAGTAATTCCCATGTTTATGTATGTTACAGATTTTGGTGACTTGTCAGAGGATGCTGCAGCTGGTTTCAAAAGTGTCCTCATGCGGAGGTCTTATGCACTGGAGAGTTTATGCCAACAAGCTGTGAGCACGGATAGTGCTATAGTTGATGACCTCCAGATACAGGACACAGAATGCAGATCGGACACTGATGACGAATATAACCTTAGTAGTCCAGAGTCAGAAGAAGATTAGAAAGGAGACCACTCTGTTTTGTTTTTAAAATCTGCTGATCCTTTCTTTTTCAACTTCAACAATTTCCAGCTTGTCTTCAACAACCTCCAGCAAGCAATAATTTATCGCTGCAGAATGGCCAGACTCTGGCTACCTTTTATTAGCAGGCTAACCCCCAAGCTATCAGACATGTAAATATGCACTAACCCTATGATAATTCAGTTATCAACATTAGGTGTTGTTAATTGTGAAATTATTTTGCACTGCAACTTCATATACTTCAATCATGAGTGTGTAATATAATTGCAATATTGACTGAATGGATTGGCCCTCTGGGTGGACTGTTTTATGCATTCTGGACTGTGACATTTCAACCTCAACTTTAGCACTTAAAGGACAATAGGGAGCTCATTTATGCTCTATTGAATTTTCTTGTGTCAGATGTGTTTTGTGGTACATGTGAGCACACAAAGATAGATTTCTTCAACTGGAAATGGCTACAATAAACTTGAATGAATTTGAAAGTGTAAATAATTTGTGATTGTAAAAAGTGCATAAAGTACATAATTGCCTTGTAGTCTTTATTCAAAATCTACATTTTACAGTATACTGTCATAATATAAAAACTCTTCAGGATGCAGACGTGGCACTGGTGAAATCAAAAGTCAAAAATTGTCCATGGGACCTGGTGTCACTTGGCAGTACTTAACGCGCTGTGTTGACTTGACAGATCAGAGATTTGATAAAAACCCATTAATCTTGTTTTTCATATATTCAAAACCAATGTATTTAAGCAGGATAGTATTTAAATTAACATGAAAAAAGTGATCATTTCAGTAAGGGTGATGATAGGTTCAGAGTTGGAAACAGGACAACAAGGTCGTAGCCAGTGTCTGAAAGTATAATTAAGCTGCATGTTAGAACACCAGCACTCTTTTTTTTCACAGTCTCATATCTCTCATCCCTGGACATTTCTCAATTTACCAGCCGACCAACTCCTCATTGACTAAGCCTATATCTGCCAGACACCCTTTTTTTCTGAAAATGGAAAGTAGAATGTGTCTTTAAAAGTTATGATAAGCTCCAAGTCCATGTTTATTCTGATTTTACTTGATTTGGATAAAAAAAAAATTTATTGACTTGATTCTGATTTTACTTGATTTGGATAAAAAAAAAAAAAAAAAATTGACTTTTTGGTCTGCATTCATGCTACATACTATTGTATCATCAATCATGGATCCCTATCAGTTTGCTTACCAGGCTGTGGAAAATGCCATCAACCTGGCTGTTTACTCTGCTACATTTGGAGTCAATTAACACCTATGCGTGCATAGCTTAGCATATAACATGATAGATCCTCAATCTGTTCTCCAGCCTGCAAGTCATGAACAGCAATATAGATCTGTGTCACTTGATACTTTCATATAATTAAATTGGTCAATTTTAACAATATGGAAACATCAATACAGATAGGCCACCATAAGGCTGTAGAGAGGTAGTAGGAGCAAACACTGTATTCTACTGCTGCTGGTGGCTCGTGCCACTCGTCTGTCCTGTACACTGTCCTGCCCCACTCACTTATTGTCCTGTACCACTAGTCTATGTCCCGTGAGACTTACAAAATGTTAAAAACCTGACCCTTAACCTAATCCTAAACCTAACCCATTGGACAGTGACTAATGACGGACAGTAGGCACATCAGATGGGATATTGAGTGAGTGCCATGTGAGAGTAGGCAAGTGTCACAAAACAAAATGAGTTGTGCAGGTCAGTGCATGGGACAGCAAGTCAGTGGCACAGTGAATAGGACAGGTGGCACAAGACATGGGTTCATGGGTGGCGCAGGACGGGTCACGAGGATCAGTAGTACAAATCACCAGCAGCAGTACAGTACAGTTATTGCTCCTACTGAGAAACGACCAAGATCAAGTTTGCAGATGATACCCCCATCATCAGTCCCATCAGATATAGTATGAGTCTCAGTGCTCCATGGAGGATAATTGGGATGTAGAATGAAGTACCACCAGCAAATTTCATCCTGAGGAGGAGGCCAAATCCCAGTTATTAGTTGAGCCCTGATATTTTTACATTTATGGCGTCTCACATAAGGCATAATGAATTAATTGAAATGGGATATTAACATCATATTAACATTAACATAACAACACATTAATCAGACATGATCTGGACATGTTATGTGTAAACAAACTCTTCTATAATGCCATATATCTTATTCATCACTACCTGGTATGGAAGGAATGACAGACAGTCACACTTGATGGAAATTAGAAAGGATTGACACAAAAGTCTTTTGTAATCCTCCTGCCCCCTAATTAAGTCTTATTTCATTGTATATTATTTTGACCCAGCCCTCCCCTGGATACACATCAGCTTAATCACTTTCATGCAAGGACAAATTCAGTATTTTGTCAGCATTTACTCTACCCATGTTAAAGTGTATATGAAGTATGAAGATTGATTGTATACAACAGCCTGCTTTGTCTTAGATTACTGTATGCCATTTCATCCCTTGACCTGGAGCATTTTGCTTTGTTGTTTAAAGTCATTGCAATTCAACAGTGACTGACTGTTATTGAGCTGAGCCCAATTTCATACATAACTTGAACCATGTTTGAGAGACAAAGAAAGAGCCCTATTTTAACATCTAAAACATAAAAACATGAAACAGTAACTTTGTGGCCGGACCTTGGGTGCTGTTGCTATTATAGCCTACCAACGGGATTCTTGGGTGCAACGCAAATCTAAAATGAAGTAGCTACATTGTTCATAGATGTGGTTTGGGCCTAACATGAAATAAACCAGATCAGAGCGACATCTCACTATCCCTTTAGGAGCAGGTGCGCTTTCCAATTATTATATTGGAGGATTTTCCATGCGTGTGCAAGGAGCACTTCACAAGCGAGGAGAGCAACGTTCTCGTCAGGGCTGGAAAAACACGTGGCATTGTATGGGGCCCATCTCCCATAGAAACCCACCCAAATTAGCTTTGTTCAAACAGGCGTATAAAAATTTGGATGAATGTGTAAGCTAGATTTATGCCTATGTTTTTCACATCTTCATGGACACAACAATGATTCCCCTCATTTGTGAATGTTTCCTTGTAAAAATGTTCATGGTTTTATAAAAAATGAAAACTGCTGCATCTGTGTGTACATGAGAAAAGCAAAGTGTATGCTCGTTGTGCACACGCTACATTGATTATGGCCAACCAGGTGCCCTTAAAATAGCATGAATAACATGCGCAACTCGCCACTGACTTTAGACTAGGCTTTTCCTGTTGAGTGGCGTGATTGTTTTCTAAACCTGTAAATTAGCTCCAGGGAATGTTTGCGTCTGTGGAGGGAAAAGTCTGCTGTGTGCAAAATAGGAATGATACATGCTGTACAAAGTCAATTGCGCTGGGTGCAAGATAGGGCCCCAAGTTACTGTCCGTCAACTGCCCACAGCCTGGCTGCAGTGTCCTTTTTTTACCTGGCAACACACCCGGGCCCCAAGTTCCCATTTTAGAGACCAAAGTAAACATTTGTTACTTAACAGCACAAACTCTTCTGCAATGTAACCATTGGTACAACAAATGAAGACTGGTGTGCGACTTGAACGGGACGTTATATAGTGTGTACCAGTCTTTGACAGATGGAGGAAGGAATCAAATGAAATGGATTCCCAATAATAACAGTCAACATACAAGAGATTAGAAAAAAAACTGTCATGTGTAATACAAATGTCCCCAGTCCTTCATACCAACAAGCCCAAATGCTGTTAGTATGATGCCTACTAAAAGAAAAGCTTAGTATATTTATTCAAGTCTTCATGTACATCCTATTATTAAAATTACTACACAAAGATCTCTGCTAGGTCACATGAGTGTGAGTGATGTCTGTTAGACATGACACGGAAAAGTTTAGTAAATACAAATCTTTATTAAAACAATACAAACCTACCAAAAAAATGAACAAAATATCATAAAAAACAATCTAGCCAAGGATCAATTTGGATTTAACTTTTGTGTAGGTATTATGACAGAAACAAAATAAAACTGGAGTGAGTATCAAGCCATCTGCCAGGTTGGAGGCCAGGTTTTCCCGCTAAAAAATACAAGAGATAAATGGTTAGTGAAAAAGGTATGAATAATGACTTAACATTCAATGCTGTAACATCTACACTACACGATTACACAATAATAGAGAACAGTAATTAAGATGAAAGACAAGGTATTCAATAGGAGTGATGTTAAAGGACAACTCCGGCGCAAAATTAATTACACATTGGTACATAGTCAACCGTTCCCTGAGATTTGTTTTCATGATTAGCAAATGTAAAGAGTTGTATCTCTAAAAACTGTTTAGCTTATAATCAGGGCCTGAAATTAACACCCGACCACCTGCCAAATGCGGGTGAATTTTGCTATTGGCGGGTAACACTGTCAATCTACCTGCCACATTGGCGGGTAGCCAATGAGAATTGAGTGATTCATTAGGATTTTTTACATTTCAACGAAGTCCGCTATTGCGGTGGACTTTAGCTAAAATGTGGGCGCATTACTGGGGTAAAGAGGCAGCTGAAACAAAACAACAGCCACAAAAGATGAGGATGAGAAAAAGAAAAGTAAAGAAGACATTTTAATACAAAGTGAAACAATCGGCGGCAATGGCAAGGTTCGTGAGCGGCTGATTTATGACAGCGACTGTTGTTCGTAACGTTCATAGCGATCAGAAAGAAGATGAGGCTCTTTTCTGACTACGTGTGCGAGTATTAAACTGTTGATGAGATGGGATGAGATAATGTAACGCGTCGCTGTTGCAGGTTAAAGTACAATGACAGTTGCACAGATGTGTGTGCGTGTGCAACTGTGCATGTTGGGAGTTGGGAACCGGTGAGAAAATGTCCGGTACCCGGTAATTTTATCAGTAATAACATTATTAATTTAGTTCATATTTAACCGTCCTGAACGCTGTAACTAAAAGCTGTTAAGAGTAAGACCTGTACGTGACTAAATCCGCCATCAACACAGCCGCGTGTGATTTGTTTACGAGCTGCGGTTGTCTATCTGTTGAGTATATAGCTACTATGTTGTGTGTGTGTGTGTGTGTCTGTCAAAATCATGAATAAAAGATTTTTTTTTTTAAATGTATGTTATTAGAGTTATTATTACTTGACAGCACTAAATGTGTGTTCTTACAAGTTAAAGAACAATATTTGTGAAATTCCCGTTTTTTTTTTTTTTTTTTTTACGTTTATGAGGCAAAAAAAAAAAAAAAATGGCTGGTAAAAAGTCTCTGTGGCGGGTGAATAAATCCACCTGCCACAGTGGCCGGTGGCCGAAAAAATTAACTTCAGGCCCTGCTTATAATGCTAGTTTATAGGGCTTAGAGTAATGAAAATAAAAAAAACACTAGTTAATACCACTTACAAGGCTCAAAATAGCCCCACACTAACACGGTAGCATAATCAGGGTCCCTATATGCAAAACGAAGCATTGAGAACTAGAATTTGAGAATAGAAGAGAATAAGAAGATACTTTATAAAGACAGTTCACTTTGTGTATACAGACAGGAGCCATCTTTGGAAAACAGTCTTGACAATCGAACCACGAACACCGAGCCAAATGCGCTGGTGAGATGTGAACGAGCCAAAACTTGGCTCGGCGTTCATGGTTCGACTGCTCGAGACTGTTTTCCAAAGATGGCTGCTGCCTGTATACACGAAGTGGACTGTCTTTACAAAGTTTCTTCTTATTAAACGCTCTGTACACTTACGTTCTCAATGTTTCGTTTTGCATGTATGGACCCTCATTATGTTACTGTGTTAGTGTGGGGCTATTTTGAACCTTGTTAGTGGTATAAACTAGCGATTTTTATTTTCATTACTCCATATGCCCCATATACTAGCATTATAAGCTAAACAATTTTTAGAGATAAAACTCTTTACATTCGATAATCATGAAAACAAATCTCAGACAACGGTGACTATGTACCAAATGTGTAAGTAGACCAAAACTTCATTTTGCACCAGCGTTGTCCTTTAAGATTAACCATAGGCTTGAAAATAGCACCTAGAGTTTTTTAATAATCAAAGAAAAAATTCTAGACAACACCATTTACAACTGTTAATTCATAACCTAATCAAATTAAGATAGTTGTACATAGAGTACACAGTAGTATAAAGTAGATTGCAAAGACTTAAAAACTGAATTTTTATAATGCAATCTTGTCTGGCCTCGCTTAAAGCCAATGTAGCACTCAGTGATAGTAGGGTTGGTAATGAATAGTCAAGGGTGTGGCAAACACAACTTTAGGTATATCCATTACAACTATCAATTGGCTATAAGTCAATTGTTCTTATTCAGCAGTTCCCTTTGAATCTACAATGTCAAAATACACTTGAGACATGTTTATTTTCCTTTTTTTTAATTTTTGGCTCAATGTCATCTGTCAAACACAGTGGTTCTAACCAACTGGTTTAGTTGCTTGCCATGCATCGTGTTGTCTTTGAAGTTGCTGGAAGGTTTGTTTTGTGCATTGCAATGTAAAAAATGTGGTATACTAAGGCTACGTTCACACTGCAGGCTGAAAGGGACCAATTCGGATTTTTTTGACCCTATGTGACCTGTATCTAATCTTTTCATGACAGTCTGAACGACACAGATCCGATCTTTTCAAATGCGACCCAGGCCAATAGGGTATGTGGTCCAAATCCGATATGTATCCAATCTTTTGAAATGCGACTTCAGTCTGAACGGCCCGGTCACATGTATCCGACCCGCACGTCATTGATACGCGACAAACGTCATAATTGTGCTTTCAAGTAGGCGGGAATAAGAAGATAAACAACAACTATAGGGGACGATGCTGAGACTAGTCAATGGAAGTAAAGCGAGGTTTATGATTTAATTAATATTTGGGGGGACAGCTCTATTCAGGCCAAACTCGAGGGCTCTTATCAGAACTTCTGCAAACAAGTACTCTTCTGTGCATGCGGGTCAATTCTGGGTCATTTCACGTTTACACAGGAGATATGCAATTAACTACACAAAAGGTCGCAATTAATTGGAAATGTGAACGGCCTTGCAAATTTTTTATTTTTATTTTTTTATAAGCCCAGCTGCACTACTTCCTGAACTTCAGCCAGCTCCTTGTTTCCTGTCTGCCATTATTCGACAAATTGATTAATTCAGGTGTGCTTGACCTCAGTAGTCATGGCAACAATAATCAGGCACACCTGAATTAATCAAGTTTGGCCAATAATGGCAGACTGGAAACAAGGAGCTGGCTGAAGTTCAGGAAGTAGTGCAGCTGTGCATAAGGTCAATTGAGCCCCTGCAGTGTGAACGTAGCCTAAGGGTGAACTGTCCAAGCAAGGGTACCATACCATAGATCGCAGGGCATCCAGTCGTACAGGAGTTCGGTCTTCCCCTGTGGAAGACAAAAAAAAAAAAAAAAAAAACATGAAAATGTGTAACATGAAATATTGGATACAGATTTACAATGTAAACTTAAAAGGAATGATTTGGATTGACATTTGATCAGTTTTCAAATAATTTCAGTAATTATTGTAAGAGGAAAACCCCTCGAGATGTGACATCTAGTTTTCGAGTTCTCTAATGCATGATTGTTATAGAGAATGCACCAATAAAAGGGTTCCCTACACAAACAATTTCTAACCCAATTTAGTGTGCTTTTCAATAATTTATCTAATAAAACCTTTGCCATCTTCCTTTGTGTGCCAGTTTTCTAAAAACTTCTAAAAACCTTATTACATTTTGTTGTACTTATTTGGAAATGAGACATTTGTACCATTCACTCTGAGACATTTTAAATGATACTAAACGTAATACTCAATGATAATCATTCACATTATAACCATATGTTTCTTGAGAGAGAATGAAATGCAGATTAGGTGAGACTGTATGAGGGGGAGGTCAAATGTTCATTTCCAGCAAGGTCCTTTGTCTTTCTGAGCAGTGGTCGTTTTTTAACCAGTTTTTTTTTAACCAGTCTTCCACGACTACCGGTAAAGATAATAGGAACGAGAATATTTCCCAGAACAACAATCAGGTCCATATTCTGATTACTTGCAGGCAATAGTCTGTCAGGATAGCAAACATCATGTAGTTAACAGGGAAGAGGGTTCCTTTCTCCACATCAAATACTGTATAAGGACCTTTAAAGGATATTTCTAGGCATTTAAAAATAAATATTTAGAGACATGGATCAAGGGCAAATTTTATCCAAGGGACAACTAAGAATTCCCTGGTGATACAATTGGCTTTATGCCAAGCTGCACTACTTCCTGAACTTCAGCCAGCTTCTTGTTTCCTGTCTGCCATTATTGGCCAAGCTTGATTAATTCAGGTGTCTGATTATTGTTGCCATGACTACTGAGGTCAGGCACACCTGAATTAATCAATTTGGCCAATAATGGGAGACAGGAAACAAGGAGCTGGCTGAAGTTCAGGAAGTAGTGCAGCTGGGCATAAAGCCAATTGGCACTATTTGTTCTGTCATGTTTCCTTGTCTGTGTTCCCGTCTTTTTCCATGTTTAGCAGTTCCCGTTATGTCTATTAGTCTTACTAGGTGTCTCTGATTAGCCACTCCCTCATTATCTCGTTTAGCTTGTTTGCCTTTGTATTTAAGCCATGTGTCTAGCTCAGTCTTTGTGTGTTCTGGATGTTGTTCTGTTGCATGTTGTCGGTTTTGTTCTGGAGTCTTAGCCTTTGTCATAGTTCAAGTTTATTCTTAGTCTTAGTCATTGTTCTAGTTTATTTAATAAAAAACTGCTGCATTTGGATCCTGCTTCCTGCACTGCATTATAACAGATACAGTGGTTAGCTTTGTTGACATCTAAGCAGATGTTGCAGGTCCCACCTATTAAGGTACACTTTAATTTAATTTATGATGCTAAGTAACTTGAACATGGTTCAGTGGCATGTTGCTTATAAAGTGTCTTGGGCCTTGAGTAGTGTGCCCAAGAAGGAGCACTAGCACTCAGTTACTGACACCCCGTGATGCAGGACAACTTCTAATTTTTTAATCAAATACCTTTTCACAGTTTTATATGAAGTTAGCTGTAGTTTAAACCTTGCAGAAAAATTATGCTGGTTGCTGGATGGTCTAAGCTAGAGTGGGCTGAAAGAGAAATGGTGCGTTCCAGCATGTAACATACGACCAAGTAGCGATTGGTTAAAGCAGAAAACAAATATCCCAATGGATAGGTTCGTGGGGCCTCATTTATAAAACTGTGTGTGTAGGATCCTTAATAAAAGTGTATGTGTGGCCGAAAGGCAAAAATGGCATTCACAAAAATTTTTTTAGACTTATAAAACCGTTCGTACACCAGAACCTGCACAAAATTCACTTTATAAATCCCAGTCACCGGAAGATTGTGCGCACATGCTCCTCCCCGAAATAGCCATAAATGAGCTTACAACCCCTAGTTTTACTATGCATATCCTCCAACCAGTTTCAAAACATGCTAGCCAAGATGTATTTTCTGTAGGGAAGACATCATATCAGATAACACAATCTAACTACCTCTCCAATCCTACCTTTCTCTGCTTGTCCGTATTATCC